GTCGTCTTCGGATGTCGGTTTATGGCATCTTTTAAGTCTGGTGTGATTGCCGTGTTCGTTGCTATGCGACGAAGACATACCTTTTCCGTCTTGGAATACCGCGGTGGGAGAGGGTTTTCCTCCGCAGGTTGAAGAGCCGGCTAACTTGCTTTTCTTTCGCTTCTTTCGGCTACTTTAATTTCGTCTGGGTCTACTCCTGTTGGTGAGATATGGCTGTGGGGAGATATATGCTTGAAGCTCGTTACACACAATCTCGTGGGCTTCCTCGTGTCCAGGAATCCGTGTAATTTTGACGTCACTTCCCTGAGATCTGAGGGTATTTGCCACGGTCTTGATTTTCTTTGTAACGTTTTCTTTTCTATCTATTATTTTGCATGATCGTACTGCTGTCTGGGAATCAGTGAAAATGTATGTGCATTGTGGTCTGTTCTGCAAGCTTTGACCTTCAAGTGCCCAGAGGATGGCATGGAGTTCTTAAGTTTTCACATTCTTGCAGTTGGGACGTACTTACAGCGGTGCAAGTTCTGGCTGAGTGCGGTAGTCCCGTCCTCGTTTCGTGCGGCGTCCGTGTAAATGGCTTCGCTGACACCGCGGTATTCCGAAATATGAACCCAGTCGGAGGAGGAGGTAGTCCGGCTTAGTGTACAACGTCTGGGCGTCGAGATAAGCCCCGATAGCCTTCAGCGCTCCCACCGGCTGGGAAAGTTCTCGGCTAACAAAAACCAACCGTTCATCGTGAGATTCTTGCACTTAAAGGACAAGCAGAACGTTTTGTTCTCTGGAGGTAAACTAAAGGAAACTCAGTACGAGGTGCGTGAGGACCTCTCGCTTTCAGTGCGCACGGCTCGCACTAAACTCTTTCATTATGGCAGATCACTAAACTTCCTGTTCAAAATTCGCTTTGACAAACTGTACGTCAATGACAGGTGTTGCCAGTATGACTCTGCGGCCGACTCTGTCACAGAGATTCCTGTATAGCAGCGAGGACATCTCTCTGATCGGTCACCGCTGCCCGTCACTACGTGACGTATAATAACGAATAATAGATAAACACGAACCATACGGTCACGTTCACTAATATCCCTAGCCTTCTTCCCAAATGTGAGGAGCTCGGTGGCTTTAATCGAGATAACAATCCTGACATTGTCATTGTTACAGAAACGTGGCTAAAGCTTGAGATAAGTGACAGCGAAATTTTCCCTCCTAACTTAATGTTTAATATTTACTGATGTGATCGCTCCGCACAGACAGGAGGTGGTGTGCTGAAAGCGGTAAAAAAAGGCATTTTTTTCTTTTATATTACTACTAGCTCCAATATCCAGGCTACTTTTGTTTGTGTTACGTTGTCCTGCACAACGACTATTATCGGTGTCTGCTACCGACCTCCGAATTATAGCGGCATGTTTTGCCACGCGCTTCATTCTCTGCTGCTTTAAATTAATAAGCGGTACCCAAGATCAAATGTCTTAGTTTCCTGCGATTTTAACTTTATTAACATAGATTGGCTTAATGTAAAAACTAATGGGTCCAGTGAAGCCAGGGATTTTCTCGATCTATGCTTAAACCATAATCTCACCCAAGACTTCAACAAACCTACAAGTGAAGACAACATCCTTGATCATAATCTAACGACGTCCCCAGACCTGGTGACATCCATTAACCAAACGAAAGGTTTTAGCGACCACAATTTGCTGACCGTGGAGTTATCCTTACCCATCCATCACAGAAACCCATCCTCAAAAATTATCAAGGACTGCTCCAAAGCCAATTTCGACGCAATGAACAGCAATCTTTCTGCATGTCTACCGTTGTATATCGCCAGTTTTTACTTCAGCACCGTGGATCAGAACTGGTTGCTTTTTAAAAACAAGTCAAATAATCTCGTTGACCTGTTTGTACCCTCTGTTCACATACGGAGCGATGATTGCAACCCATGGTATAACAAAGCATTAACTTCCCTCAACAATAAAAAAAGCGGTTGTTTAGAAGAGCAAGGCGTCTAGACTGCGACGCTGCCTGGGACGCATACTTTTCGTACCTTAAGACCTACACTCGGAACCTTCGTCTGGCTAAACATAAGTTCTCTTTTGAGGATCTTTTTGGTATCCTGCGTAACTACCCTAAAAAAATTCTCACGATAATATCCCCTAACTACCGCTCCTCCTCTATCCAGCTAACCGATGAGGACGGGTCCCCAATATCTGAAACGGACTGTGTCACAGTATTAAACGACTGTTTTTAATCTGCGTTTACATTAGAATACGCCGACGCTCATATATTACAAGCACTACCGTACGAGTCTACGGAACCTATTGACATCTCATGTCCTGGAATAGCGAAATTCCTTGACAACTTGAAATTGACATCCTCTAAAGGACCTGACGACATCACCTCCAAAATTCTTCGCTACACCAAAGCAATATCTAGCGAATTCCTTTACTTAATATTCTCACAGTCCTTATCGCAGGGATGCCTACCATCCGACTGGAAACTGGGTAAGGTCGTTCCGGTCTTTAAGAATGGGGATCGTTCTTCGGCTTTGAATTACCGCCCTATATCTCTAACCTGCGTAGCCTCAAAACTTCTAGACCATATTATCTTCTCAAACGTTGTATCTCATCTTGAGAGAAATGACTCCTTTTACAACAAGCAACACGGTTTTCGTAAGGGACTGTCTTGTGAGACGCAGCTCGTAGAATTGACCCACGAGTTATACACTAATTTTGAATCCAACCACCAAACTGATGCCCTATTTTTGGACTTTTCGAAGGCTTTCGACCGCGTTGCCCACTGGCGCCTGCTTGCCAAACTTTCATGCTTTAGAATTGACCCTCTCATTCTCTCCTGGATCCGGGATTTCCTTTCCTTTCGCACTCAATTAACCACAATCAATAGTTCCTCATCCACCCGCGCTGAGGTTACCTCGGGAGTTCTCCAGGGCTCGGGTCTTGGTTCCATACTGTTTCTAAATATTATTATTGACATTCCAAGCAAAATTTCCTCTACCATCCGCCTTTTCGCTGACGGCTGCGTTCTATATCGAAAGATGGTTTCTTTTGAAGACCATCTTCTATTTCAAAGAGACCTGGACGAAATCCAGGCATGGTGCACCGGGTGGTTAATGACACTAAACAAATCGAAATGCAAGTTAGTCCAGTTTTTACGAAAACGACAAGGATCTCGGTTCTCGTACAAATTAGAAAATCACTTAGTCGAAGACGTCCCGTCCTCTAAATACCTCGGTGTGACTCTAACTAACGATCTCACCTGGAACGCTCACATCGAGCTTATATCCGCTGAGGCGTCTCGCTGCCTCAGTTACATAAGACGAAACCTAAAATCGGCTCCCCCATTCGTGTGAAAATTGGCTTATGAGACATACATTCGACCAAAATTGGAATATGCTGCGGCCATTTGGAGCCGTCAGCAAATATACTTATTAAATCATCTCGAGGCAGTCCAAAACCGCGCTGCCAGGTTTATTTTTGAAGAAAATATGATTGGTCAGTTAGTGTATCCGCCCCAAAGAGTGAACTGAACCTTTCTGTAATGAATGTCCACCGTAAGATAGCGCCACTCTGTCTCTTTCACAAAACCAACTACTACCCCCCCCCCCCCCCCCCCCCCCTGCGCTCCCAGACCCTCTCCTCCTACCCCCAGGCGATCTTCTTCGCGGCTAAATCACCCGTTTCACGTTTTGCGCATCTCAGGCAGCAGAACCTATTTTAACTCCTCCTACCTCCCTCGTTTTATATTGTAAACTGGAACGACCTCCCCTCAACTACTGTAACCCAGACGTATCCCACCGGATTTCGCAACGCTCTTTGTTCTCATTTCTGTTAATCCCCACTGTGCCGTTCTGTTTGTTTGTCTTGTGCTTACTGGTTTCCATGTATCAATGTTTTCATCCCCTTATGCTCCTTATTTACCCAGACTAATTTGTGTATTGCCGTTGCTCGTGGCGATGCCACGTTGATTTGCAGCACCCCATGTGTTCGCATGTGTCGTTGTTACTGTTTTATGCTCTCGTGTTATGTACCCCCCTCCCCCCCCCCCCCCCCCCCCTTTATGTAATGCCCTCAACGAGGGCCTTCAAGGGAACTTGAATAAATAATAAATAAATAAATATTTTTCTGCTTGAGGGTCGCATCTATTTTGCGTTTGTGCCTTTTTCGTCGCACTCTCTCTCCTTTTGGGGTTTTTCTTGCTCTAATTTTGTGGCGTCAATTTGACGTCCACCACCATTTCGTCCTTCCACGGGGGAGGGGTTGGTGCCATGCTCGGTATTAGGAAAGTTTTTCCACCCAGGATGTTGATAATTATTTTTCCTGGGTGCGTTCTTTAGAGTTTGAGTCGCTGATTCACAAGGCCTTCTTCTGCGAGGTGTTTTATAGAAGTGATCCGGCTGGGGGGTTTTGTGTAGGTCGAAGATGCGGATCCGGATTGCTGCTTTTGTTGGGAGTTTCTAGTTTCTGTTGTAGAACCACGTGATCCCCGCGGCCCTAGGCCTAGCTCAGGCAGGCCGTAGGGCGTCGCCATCTGGGGGCGCGTCCCGTATGCGAGGGGAAGCCGTATTCCATTGCGGACGGCTCTCCTTCGCCCTCCTCATGTGATTTGCCGAAGGCACATACCTCGGGATCACGACTTGGAAGCGTTCGCCCCTCCGGGGAGCCAACCTACATCCGACCCATCCCGGGTGCGTCCATTCCCGCAGGCTATATAAGACGGCCCAAATCCAACGGGAGGGACTGGGGAGGAAGTGGCCGAGTGGGCTAACGCGTCTCAGCTCGGAGCGTGGGCCTGGACGGCTCTTTGAGAAAGCATGTATGAAGCCACAGGATACAGCGGAACAGTGGGTACAGACTGGAGAAGTCTCCTGGAGAACCGTGTGATGTGAAAATGTTGAGACTCTAGAAGATCAAGTGTGCATATATTCCATGTTCAAGTGCCTAATTCTCATGATTTAATTTGAAAGGGGGTTATTCAAACCCACTCAAAGACAAAATAAAGCATGGACCACAACATCGACTGAATGCCGGGGCACAGCAGACTCCCGTGTCCAAGAATTGGTTCTTCGTCATTCGCAGTGGTGTCTGAATCCCTTGCACACGCAGATCCTGGGAACGGGTGACTGGGGAAACTTGCAGTATCCCAGGAAGCAGTTTCTTCCAACGCACACATCGCTGCAGAACGGGTCCGTGCAGGGCATCTTGTACGAAATCTCCAGCTCTGCGCGAGACGAAGGTTGGCACGTCACGGACGTTGAATGAGTGCAGTGCCGTAGGCATTACCGAGCATAAAAAGTAAACAGGTACGTTCCTCGTTACTTGCAAATAAAAGGAGTGTGTTACCAACCTACGTCGCTTCAAAATAAAGGGCACCCTTTACCGCTAACGACAAAAAGTAACGTATCTTACTTTTGCGGTAAGTTTCATATATGAATTGAAACAACGTTTTACTATTTAGACGTTACAGGTATACAAGAACCGTATATCGAGAGTTTGGCCATTCATTGGGGAGTATAGGATGCAAATGAGGAGACGCCATTGACCGAAAGTGGGCTGGGCATGTTCCAGGGCGTCTTCACATGACGAAAATAATTCATGGAGAAAAGCGCAGGGGTTGCGGGGACGTCAGAATGACACCGAGTTCTAATTGGCTTTGATTGGAAGAATAGTGGCTAGACATCAATGCTAGATGCATCAAGCTCTACCCACTATCTTTTTTTTTTCAATTGGTCAATAAGTGTTTAGTGCTCTGACATCATCGCAACCCCCGTGCAAGAAAGCAGACGAACTACGCCGGATTTAGTGGGAATCATCACTTACGCTTTACAACGATGCTTCTTCTTTCTTCGGACGTCGATAAAAGAAAGGGGGGAAAATGAGAACGGAATAACGACAAGCCCCTGAAGTTAAGGCGCAAAGTTTGTATTTATGCTCAGACGCGTTTTCTACTCTCAAAGTGGGCTACTCGAGCCTCTGAAAATTACCTTAATTATACGATATTCGATACGAATATCGTATACGAATTATACGAATGCGAATACGAATTATACGCAGAACACGTTTTTTGGTCTTGCCACGAAAACAGCCGTCACATGTGCTAATACACGATACAAAAGACAGTCTGCAACACAAACTAGAGACTTTGAGAGAACCGTTTTCGCCCATCCGATACTGTGCGATGGGCCCTCCGGTACGAACTGAACATGAGCGAGTCTTCTGCCGCGGCGCATGTGCGGTTCGTACCGGAGGGCATATCGTACCGTATCGAATGTGCAAAAAACTGTTCCCTAAAACGCTCTACTGTCCGAGGCGTGTTTCTTCCTCGTATGACGTCACATTCGGCATAAAGAGAAGTGTGTCACACATGTTCTAAGTATGCACGTGCAAATACCAAAAACCACATATGTCGTTCGTAAGGCCGGACTGCCTTTGATGCTCCGCGAGTACACTGGTCTACGCGGTAGAGGAGAAATTTAGCTATATAGTAGGACCCCTGCTAGTCTGCGGTATGTTACGTGCATCATGCAGTACAGCGATACACGACCGCACGAAGGTGCGACGCTCATGTAAGGAAGGGAGCACATCGTGCTTCCAACATGCGTGAGTCGCGTCCGCAGAGAATTCTGTCATCGTGTCTGCGGCGAACAGCGCCTATCTTTTGTATGATGGAGGAGCAGATTGCCTGCAGCTTTTACGGTGAAGCATCACCCGCGACGAGGTCAAGGAGAAACCGGTGACTATTTGCCAAAAATTATAATTAAGAAGCACGCCTCGCTTTTCTTGTGAATCAAATCTGCGTGCCTGCGAGGCTCTGTAAAAGACTTTTCTTGCCGGCACACGCTCCAGATTTTCTAGAGGGTACAGATTTGCCGCCGACTTACCCGAGGCTTCGATGGGCAGCAAATGCAGCAAAAGTTCTAACATTACGAAGATCTGCTCGAACGACCTCCGACGTAAGTACATGTTCAAACTAAACCGTCTGAGGTCAGTTTTCGTTTCCCAAACCACGAGTTAGAAAATACATTTGTCGACACACAGTTCGACTGCCGAAATGACCTCCAAGTAACAGTATTTGCCCCTCCCCAACCCCCCCCCCCCCTTTTTTTCTAAATGAATATACATTTTGAAGCGCTTGCGCTTATTACGCGCGCCTATTGTACATCGTTGGCACCTAAGCTGATTGTGCGGTTAAAGTGTACACATTCGCCGTATCAGTCACCCGCCTCTCTTTCATCGCCTGCGCGTGGGTATGGGCGGGAGGAACGTGATCACATGGCAAAAGATAGACGTATGATTGGTCCAACGAGCACCTGGCTCCCGCGGTGCTGTCAACGTATACGAGTGAACAGAGTCTAGAACGTGGCTTATAAGACAGCGCCGGAATGCGAGCAGCTGCAGGAGGGATTGTGTCGGGCGACGCGGCACGAGTTTAATAGACCGCATTCACGCGGCTTTTATTTAATTTTTGTTATCCGGATTGAAAAGCGGCTTTTATTGGCATGATTCTTCGTCAGCGCCGGTCTATAGCCTTGTTTGTGTGTGCGCGGTTTATGGCTTTTTACATTTTGCCTATAATAAACAAAGCTGCTATGGGGCTTATGCTTGCTAGCAGCTGCTGCGAATTCGGTACACCTTTTGATAAATCGGGCGAGCGGAGTGTCTTTAAAGTTGGTTGGCGTCCGGACCCTATAAGTGAAGAACCTCGGTATGTTTAGAACTAAGCTCTCATGAACAAAATGTAAAAAAAAAAAGGAGATATAGCGCGGAAGTGCGACATCGAAATATAATTTAGCTAACCTAAGTCCTGCTTGAGTTCCTGTATAGGCTCCCTACGGGATCCAAACTTGCGGGTTCAGCCATCTTGAAATAATAAGTTGCGCGGAAAAGTCACACCCGTGCTCCTCGATTGCTGCTGTATTCGGCGAATAGCGGCGTCGCGCGCACCGCCGCAAATGGAAAACAGGAAATGAGAAGAAGGAGGCGAAAGGCAGAGAAACATATACCGGGGTGCGTGCAACGTCTACTTCCCTACATGGCGCTCGATTCTTTGCTGCTCACGTGATCGATCTCGACGAACAGTGGCGCGGCGGCACGTAGAAAACAGACGCTCAACTCAACAGGAACTCTAGGTCCCGGCAAACTTATCGGGAAACGGTTTTCCGCTGAATTTAGCGAGGAACTTGGATTATTACGCTAAATCAACGAGGTAGAGGGGCTTAGAGCGATAAACCGGGGTTCCGGTCTGCACTCGAAAGTGACCCCCATAAGGAGGCTGCCATTGTACGCAAATTTGACCACACGTCACATGACCAAACCAAATACGTGACGTCACAGGAAAGATGGCAGCGCCCATGCAGCGGCTGGCCCCAGCTGGGCCGGAGCTTGTCGGATGCTTTGTTGGTTGTCGTTCGTCTCGGCGAGTTGATTTCAGACGCGGAAGCCGTCATATGAGGCCGGTCGAAAGCGAGTTCAGAGTTCAGCGTGGTGTTTGACGTAGGTATAACGTGAAAATACGGAGAAACGGTGTGCATTTCGCTGGTGACCAACCGGGATATTGCCACGGAAGAGACAATCTGACCTACGTTGCTCGGACCTCGGATTGATTCGGATACCGCTAGGATAAAATTTAAGGCGACGTTTCTGTGCTCTCGTTGACCATCGGAATCTTCGAGGTTTGCAGTGAAGCGTGTGCAATATATTTGGATACACAGTTTAGCGACGGAAATTGCCTGAGTCGTGCTTGGCGGTGTGCAATCACGGTGCAGCTTCGATCAAATGACCGAGGGCTCACTTCGGTTGTGCGGCGCACCGGAAGGCTGCCTTGAAGCTGGTAGTTCCCGTGCCGTGCTGAATGATGCTGTGCTGCTTACAAATTGTTCCGACGTAGAAGTGCACTTTCACGGAGCACAGGTGTGCGGCGCACCGAAGAGCTGCCTTCAAGCTGGTAGTTCCTGTGCCATGCTTTAGGTGATGCTGTGCTGCTTCCGAAATTGTTCCGGCGTAGCCGTGCACTTTCACGGAGCACAGGTGTTGCAGTTGGTATTGATCCCGCTGGCCTGTCGCACGTTTCGTCAACACAAACGTTTCATCCACACTCGTTACGCGAATTGCAAGCTGTCCGGACATTTCACCGAGCGTGTTACGTACCCAGCTCACGCCGCTTTGTGGCAACAGTCTGCAGTGGCTCATTACCAGAAAAGTGGTCCCACATCCATTTCAGTTCAGTTCGTCCACGGCAGTCGCCAAACCCCGAAGGAGAGGATTTATTCGGACAGAATGCCACTAAAGCAATGCAGCTTCTTCAGTGGTCAGGATAGATTCTCTTCTGCTAGTTTTGTTATACTGTCACGGATCCTTGTTCCAGTCCTATCTTCTATCAATATTCACTATTCTGGGACACTGCAGGTCATGCTCAGCTGTAATCGTATGTTCAGGTGGAGGTACTGGGCACCTTACCCGTAGCCCTTCACTCTGTGTGAACCCGGCGGCTCTTCAGCCGAGTTACCCGATAATGGGACACGGCTGGCGGACTATTCTGCGTCTTATACCCCTGTCGAGCCGTAGGCAAAGTCCTGACTCGAGCCTGGCAGAACAACCGCAAGACGACCGAGTACCACAAGGAGTAACCTCGGAAATACACCACGAAGCACCTGAAATCCGAGCCAGTTGCTGCTACCAGGAAAAACCACCGGAATTCGGTGTCCTGTCAGAAAATCCGAAGCTGACTAAGCCAACAATGACAAACCTGTAGCAGCAAACCGTGTCCCCTCCCACCATTGTTTGCATGCCCGTCGCAAATCACACTCCGACGCTTTTTCACGCAAGCTGTATGAAGACGTCAAGGACTGGATTGAACAATATGACAGTGTCGCCCGCCACATTGGGTGGACAGACAACCAGCTCCTGCAGAACCTATACTTCTCGTGGAAGCAACTGCCGGCGCCGGTCTGAGAACCGTGGATCCTCCTTAACGTCATGGGAAGTTTGCAAGATCAAGCTGAAGCGCGCATCCGTCAGCCAACATCAACGAAAGAGAGCCGCATTCTTGATTCTGTCCAGGACACTGCCCCAATGAGAGCGCCACCGCACTCGTGGAGGATGTTTTGCGCTTGATCGAGCGCCCACGCCCACGCCGACCTTGATGCTACAGAAGACAAGAACCTAAGAATCCCATGCGCCCCACGTGAGGGACAACACCTTCGGCAGCCTTGTCCGCAACCCCCCAACAACAGTCGAAGTGTTCATATCACTGAGGCTTTCAACATGGAATGTGCACTGCATGCCCGAGCCTGCCACTATGAACAACTTCCCGGCGTCTCGACACTCGAGTTGTCCAGCTACTACTTCGACGCCAGCCTCCCAGGCATCCACGACATTGCCTGGGAGGAGATCAGGAAGCTACTTCCTGCCATCAGTTGCCCGGCTTTTATTTTGATTGCCGAGATTGTTTTGGAACAAGTTTGACAGGTATTTCAACCGAGAGTTCTGCGAGCGAAGCGGCATCTGACAAACCAAGGGCAACTTACGCCACAATAGCACGACGACCGCCACCGGCTGCCCCTTAGTATTCAATGCCAATTCAATGAGACACTCTAACGCCGAAGCATTTCCGACATCGTGTGTAGGTCCGCGCTCAACAAAGTACACAGAGGAAAACGTAGGTGATGCGAATGTGCGACCGAAAACCACTTTGCTACCACTGCATGAAGCCGACCATGTCTACCAAAGCAGCCCGTACCAATGAATTGGTCTGCGAAGGTTCGTGCCAAACGACCCTCGATTACGTCTCGAGGAGCGACCACGGGAGATTAAGGATTACCTTCGGCGACCTTTGTCCCTGATGC